CGAGCCTGTTCCGTGGACACCTGCTCAGGGAAAAACATTGCCCTCTCATGAAACTTCTAAGTGATCACCGTAACAAAATCATTACCCTGCTTGAGGGACAAGAACTCCTGAACCAACCGTTTCCTCTCCACCGGGGGAACATACTCGTCTCTGAACGTAGCAGTAAATCTCTCCCAAGTCACGGCTGAAACCTCCGCAAGAGTGAAGTTCGCCGTCACGAACTTCCACCAATCCTTTGCTCCCAGGCGGAGCTGGTTCAAAGCGAACCGTACCCTCAGATGCTCCAGACATGAACAAGTGTAGAAGCATCCCTCGATATCAGCAATCCATCTCATCGCAGCGATCGGATCCTGCATCCCGTCAAACTCGGGTGGCTTCATGTTGCTGAACTCCCGGAATAGCAACGAGTCACCTCCCTGCGGTCTGGCAGCGGCCACAGCTGCGGTAGCTGCAGTGGCTGCAGCCTCAGTCACCGTGGCGTACCGCTCATCAAAAGTCTCCATCAGTATGGTCTTAATAGACCCAAACATCTCCGGAATCTCGGCCCGGATCGCTGCAACCACCTCCTCATGAATCATCTGATGAGGCTCCTCGTCACTCACACCACTCGTACCAGGTCTGTGGCATGGTCCAACCATGATCGCACTCGATAACGCAACCATACTCGGTCTCCGATACCCAAGGATTCTTACTTGGGTTGCCCACTGACCCGATGTCTTCAATAGTACGGGCCCAATACTACCAACTACACCGCATCAGTATTCACCCCAAGTCCTCCTCCCCGAACCCCGGATCATGAGTACTCTATTCTCGCTATGCACTAGCTACCCACTCTCTCTCAAAGCATCTCATAGCAGCAGTTTTCCCTAGACTAAGGCATCACAAATCAGGCCACTCTAGTCCTAATATGAATACCTAGTCTACTAGCATGCATATCATATCATAACATATCTCATAGCACATATTGTAAGAGTATTTTGGGGATTTTACCGTTCGGGCGCTGGCTGACCGTACACACTGCTTCTCCTTTGGTTGTTTCAAAATCTTTTATTAGATTTTTATTGCTTTTATTAATTAAAATTTTTCTCAAATCCCCGGTTTGATTTTAGTTACGCCCGAAGGTGTATCTGAATCCCTCAAACCAAGGCTCTGATACCAACTTGTAACAACGTAAATTTTAAAACAAATTTTTTATTTTTGTAACATCAAAAACCATCGACTAATATTCCAAATTCAAACGTGAACAATGTTATCATAACAAAATACATCCCAATGATCATAAAATAGTTTTTCTCTGACAATGTATACGATCACACCGGCGCCTTCCCACGGTCCTCGCTAGTACCAGATACACATAACACAACAACTGTAAGCATAAATTCTTAGTGAGTTCCCCAAAATACAACTTACGCATATACGCCTTTCCAGGCCCTGACCTTCCGGTCCATGTGCCTTCCGGTCCATGTGTCTCAGGGGACTTCCATCCCGACTAGGTAGACCTTCCGGTCCTACCCACGTCAACCTCACGGTCCACATCATAATGCCTTCCGGCCCAATACATATACGTCTTCCGGCCCATATCAAGCATATCATACATAACACATATAAACGATTAACTTATCACATACGATGCATATAACTCATAACATATCTGACCTTCCAGTCACACAGTAAAATCCCTTCCGGGTACAGTATAGTGAGAAAACTCACCTCGTGGAAAGTCTAAGATCTCACGTACTCGCTATCTCCAAATCCCAACGACGACCCTACCTCGCCTAATCATAAAAATATCATTTAATAATCAAAGACTTCCACATCTAACACTTTACCTTTATTATCATTCCTCAGAGGGTAAAAGACCATTTTACCTTTCCTTGACTTAAAGTCCTCATGTTGACCAAAACCCTAAAAGTCAACAAAATTCAACCCTGTAAGTACGCGGGGTGTACTGCTAGATGTACGCGGGGCGTACATCGCCAACCCATGGATCGGGGTCTCCACCGAGTACGCTACGCGTACTAGAAGTTACGCCCAGCGTAACTATCAGATTCTAACACTCTTCATTTCTGGTCTTAATCGGTTAAGCCATTACTCCAACTTCTACATCCGACTCTGATAGTGTGTCTAAACCCATAAAGTCGAGACCTTTAAGCCTTAGCATGGCTATAAAGGCTCCAACACTTCTTAACAACATTTTATTCTAACTCAAGGACCTAGATCTCATGCATGGTGCACTATTCACGTCCAAGATGTTATTTTTATGAGTCTACAACTCCAATAGATCAGAAATATGAAGGATCTAAGCTTATGGAGGCCATTTGCACAAAAGTCTCCACCTTTGGGACTAAAACCCTAGAAAATGGTACTTGAAGCATATAACATGAACCAAGTGACAAGATCTGAACTTTTTACCTGATAATGAAGCTTTAACCCTTGCAAAGCTCATATCTACACTTGAACACCACTTCTAGTCTTTCCAATGAGCTCTTCTTCTCCTTTACAACCTTGGAATGGCACCACCAAGCTTAGAATACACACAAAATGGCTAAAGAATGAAAGCACACTCTTTTTAGGGTTTCTCTCTGAGGGATGGTGGCTGAGAAGTCCAGCCACACCTTCCTTTTATAGCCCTCCAAAGGAATTAGGGTTTTTAGATCTGGACCAGTTACGCCAAGCGTAACCTTGGATACGCCTAGCGTACTTGAGGGTTAACGCGTCCAAAAGAGGCGCGCGAGTACGCGCAGCGTACACCTTGTACGCCCAACGTACTCGCTTATCATGAAAACCCTAAAATGACAACACAACCAAAATAGAAGAATACCTGGATTTCGGGCTGTTACAGAATATCTGTGTAGTTGTACGTGTAACCTGTGTGTTAAGAGCTCAAAATTAAGGAATACTCCCCTCCTGCCCGTGGACGTAGGTCACCTTGATCGAACCATGTAAATATTGTGTCTTGTGTGCTTTTTTGTTTTGCTAGTTATCCGCTTTACTTCCTAACATTACAGATGAGCAGGATTGGGAGTTGCTTTTCTGTCGGTTTCAATGATGGACAGTGAATAGGGAAGAATCCTACCAGCATGACCCAATAGATTTTTATATGCTAGTAAAGACTGAGTAGGATTTTTCCAAAAGAGGTAATTAGATGAGGGGAGTTTGATGGGGAGAAGGTGAAGGGTAGTGTTGAAGGGAAGATCAATGGAGGATGACGCCACGAGCAAATAAGAGAAAAATATTCTTTTGATGGAAAAGGGGGGGGGGGGGGGGGACGGGTCGTTAGGGTTTTTTATGATCCTAGCTGATACCACATGAGAAGTAATTTCCTTGATTATTCTTCTTCAAAATAAAAAAGATATATACGTTTATATAATTCGAAAATTCTGACATAATTCGTTGGTAAAGGGTGTTGTTGGTACTAAGGTCAAAGTCGATCAAAGTGTCACTGATCGCTACTCTGCAGCTAAATCCTGGTAAAGCTATCGTCGCTATTCCATCAGTCTATAAGTCAAATTTGGTCAAAAAACACCCACTGACAATTCGTAGGTAATCCATCGGTAATACATGGATTGGTATTCTGTCGGTAATTTAGCGATGAAAAAAGCGGTTGGTATACATCAATAATTTGTCAGTATAAAAGGTGTTGGCCCTTTTTTGGTTGGCAATACGTCGGTATCAGCTATTACCGATGAAATATCGACCGATATTACCATAGGTAATTTTCCATCCATATCCACCCATCCCCCCCCCACCCCCCCCCTTCTCTCTTTCCTCCAGACATATATATAAATACATTACAATTGACGGTTCTAAGGATCGGTTTGCAAATAGTAATCCCACTAATAAACAAGTACGATAAACCCTTTTATCAGGGAGTTTGGATTGAAACCATTTGACCTTTGTACTAAAGTATCGGCTGTTTGAAAATGTATTTTTTTTATATTGATGGTTCAAATCCTATAATAAACAATAGAGAAATGTAAAATGAACAAATATAAATTTGAAAGTATGTCCTAGCGTTCTAAAAATAAAGAACATGGATTTGAATCTACTCAATATTGGATTTCAATGTTCATTTTTAGTCATGGAAGCCCCAACCGGAGGCTCAAATAATTAAAAGGCATTAAGACTTCGGCAACCTACCTTTAGCTACAAATGTAACAACCATAAAAATCATAAAAATAATGCCAACTTGAAGTAAGGTATATTTCTAAAAAGATTAAAGTGCATTTGGTTGTGTAAAATTATTTTCATTTTCTAAGAAAATGTTTTCAATAAATAAAGTTAAGTTTTCATTTTCTATTTTCAATGAACATTTTAGAAAACGCGTTTGGTTGAAACCGAGAAAGTTTTCATTTTCCATCTTAGAAATTTGGAAAACTATAAAAATCAGTTTTTCTAATTTATATATAATTTAGAAAACTGAAAATTTTCATTTACTTGGAAAATTTCGGAAAGCTGAACGAACCAAACACATTTTCAAAATGTTCATTTTTCTTGGAAAATTTTCCTAACAAACTGGAAAATTTTCTACAACCAAACGCACCCTTAGGTGCGTTTGGTCGTAAGAAAACTATTTTCATTTTGTAAGAAAATGTTTTCAGAAAATAGAGCTGAGTTTTCGCTTTCAATTTTCAATGAAAATTTTAGAAAACGTGTTTGTTTGAAACCGAATGAGTTTTCATTTTTCATCTTAGAAATTTAAAAAACTTTGAAAAAATATAAAATTCATTTTTCTAATTTCCATACAATTTGAAAAACTTAAAATTTTCATTTTCTTGGAAAATTTTGAAAAACTAAACCAAACAAACGCGTTTTCAAAATTCCACAACCAAACGCACCCTTATCATCCCGGCCAGTGGGATAAAACCCGTTTCTTTGTAAGCATTTTCTAAAGCACTAGAGAATATTTCTCCAAAAGTACGAAGAATTTATTTTCCAATTATTTGAAACCTTTTCTTTTAAAGACACTAAATAAGATAAAACCTGTTTCTTTGCGAGCATTTTCCGCAGGGATTACTACTCACCATTCCTCTGTGGCCATTAAAAGAACCATTGATCAACAAACACACCAAACTTCAAGAAATATATATAAATGCTCGCACGTATATAGCCATTAGTTTTGTTTAAAGAAATTTGATAGTTTTAGAGAGAGAAAGAAAGAATTAAAAAAATAGGCTAAATATTAATTCTGATCGTCAATCGATATAGAATTAGGGTATCAATTATCATTATAGCTTGGACAATGGTGGTGGTGGACGCACAATACGTTGAGCCATTCACCGTCGATCTTGCTGTTCAGAGGAAATCAGTGGCCAATTCAAATGGAAACTTTACCGTTGTCGACGTCAATGGAAACGTGTTGTTTAACATTAAAGACACATTGTTCAGTTTTCATGATCGTCATATCTTGTATGATGCAAACGACAAACCTGTTCTAACTTTCAAGAAAAAGGTTTCTTTTTTTTATTCTGTTGTTAAATTCAACTTGCTGTTTAAATTGTGACGAACGTTTTTGTACTTATGTGGTTTAATCATCATACAAAACCATGTTCATGTGATGCGTTTCATATTTAAAATATTATGAATAAAAAGTCATGCATGCAAATAACTACTAGAAGAAATAATTTTTATTGTAAATTCCATTAACATTTTAGGCTTTAGCATTAAGGTTAACTTTAACATGCATAGTAATTAAATACATTATCGTAATTGATATTGTATATAAGAAGTAAAACAATAACTATTTCACATTCTTGAAAAAAAATTATACTTTCTGCAAATACGAAACTTACATGAAACTGAAACTTCATTGATCTTGAAACCCATGAAGCGATTATATCCAAAGGCTTTGCTGTAATCGCTATTTCTTTTAATAATTTGTTCAGCTCCGATCCATCCATGGAAGATGGCAAGCTTTCAAAGGAGAGAACGCCACCCACAAAGATTTACTTTTCAGTGTAAAGAAGTCAGCAGCACCTAAACATGAAACGGAGTTAGATGTGTTTTTAGTGGAAAACAAAGAGGAGACATCGTGTGATTGTAAGGTTACAGGAGATTGGGAAACCAAATCTTGCAACGTCTACGCCCAAGATGGTTCTACCATTCTTGCTGAGGTGACATACACCTTTAAAGATATATTGGTAGACTTTATAATATCAAATTAATCGATCACATGGTAAAGTGATAATTAGTTACATATTGTAAATGAAATGGGACATTCGTTGAGACAAGCAAAGATAAATGGATTAGTGTATTTTGTGTTATATATTCATATCATATTTGATTGATTTATTTTGACATAATATTATGTGTGAAGTGGGTCTTAAGAATATGTTACATTTAAAGTGTGGTATATGTTTGCCTAATTCATTATTGTCCTGTTTTTGAATGATATGATCTAGGTACATGATAAGCAAAATATTACCAATGTGGTGGTTGGAAAGGAGACCTTCGGTATAACAGTCTACCCGGATGTGGATTATGTTTTTATTGTTGCACTTGTGGTGATTCTTACGGAAATCAAAAGTTATGATAGTAGCAAGAAAAAGAAAAAGAAAAAGAAAAAGAAGGAAAAGAAGAGTTCTGATAGTAGTGAAGACGATAAAAAAGATAAGGAGATAAAGGTTGAAGAGGTGCAGGAGGATGAGAAAGAGAAATTACAAGTAAAAGAACAAACAAAAGACGAAGAGGAAGATCATGAAGAGCCGAGAGAACAAGAAGAACAAAAAGAAGATGAAGTAGAAGAAGAAGTAGAAGAAGAAGATGATGATGATGATGATGATGATGATGACGACAGTGAAAGTGAAAGTGAAAGTGAAAGTGATAGTGATAGTGATGATTATGATGACGAGGAACATGATGATGATAAAGAGGGTCAAACTAACATGGAGGAACCGAATCATGATGAGTATAATAACGACGAAGATGATGAAGAAAGTAGCTCCACCTCAGAAGAAAGTCCTAAAAAATAGTAAAAGTTGAAGGTAATTCATTTTGTCAAAAATCATTTACATGTATAGCGGTAATGCATGTAAGATTGTACAAGCTTTTTCAAGTTGAACAACTTTTGATTTTTTTAGAGAAAACATAGTGACTGGTACTAGAAGGTTAAATTAAATACTTAAAATCCATTTCGTACGTATTTGAATGATATGGGTAGATGATAGTAATCAAGTCATTTGCCAAACCTAATGCTATATATGTTTCGTATTTACTAATTATGGAATGTATAGGTTCAAAGATCTTTATGTGGACACATGTATAAGGTAATGTCTCAGTACATTTCAAGGTAGAAATATATATCATTCTTTTCAAATATGTTTCTTATATGGCCATGTATTAGGTAGTATATATTTCTTTTCAAATTTATTCTTAACGTACATGCTTTTTCTCCAAAAACATTATTAGATTTCTAGTTAATGGAATGGCCAACACGTTATAACATAACACTTGAGTAGCATGAACTTGTTTTATACATAAACCTTTGAGTAACCTTATAAACCATACTATTTTGCATGAAGTCGCTATGGCAACTACATACTAGCCTTTGTAGAGGACACTGCAACAATGGCCTACTTCTTGGATCCTTGAGTAATTTGTCTAGATCCGAGCATAAAAACCGTTACCAATTATACTTTTCGTATCATCTTGAGATCATATCCAACCTTTCAAGAAAAATGTTACATTCTGTATATATTAGATTCCAAAATTACCTATGCCTACACATAATTACGTACAAACTCATTTTGCTACTCCAAAATGTTTTTTTCGTTGGACACTACATCGATCTAGAAAGTAGTCCAACCGGAAATTAAAAAATATGTTCTTGTGTGTATAACCAGGCTCGGCCCAATATATGGGTTAGTTGGGCTAAGGCCCAAGGCAACATATTCATTGATCCCGTAATTGAATCACATTGAGAATTGCAATCGCCAAATCGATAAATCCAATCGCTAGAAAAACTTACAAGTTCGTAGAGATGGAGGATCCGGATCTAAAGTCCAAATCCACTTAACTAATTCATTAATCCTGTTTTCCATCTTTGTACATGTGATTTCTATTCTTCATTCTGATTAATTTTTGTCAAATAAACTCGTTGTTGCACTTAATCGTACATCTAAAATAATCTAATAGTGTTATGAATTTTGTTAGTATTGCGATTTAAGATTTTAGATTTGTGTGCAAGTTGGAGTTCCATTACTGATTGTGAGTTCGATTTATGTTATAACGTGAAACAAAACCTTCAAGGGCAATCAAAGTAGAAAGTACTGGTTGGATTTTTTATTTCTGATTTATCTTCAATTGATTTCGGTAAGTTTTATTTTTCTTTATCTAATACTAAATTCTTTATAAACCTGTTTCCATCAATCATCATCTCTTGATTTGATGTTTGTGGGTTTTGTCAGGAGTTTGATTTTTACCTAAGTCGAGCTTTTGGAAAGATTTCTGAAATCGATTTGGTTTTTGTGTAGTTTCATTTTTTGTGTAATTTCTTTTGTACCGATGGTTTTCATTTAATGTGGGGTATTAGATATGTGGTTTTGTTGTGTTTGTTACTATTAATCTAGTGTAAAATCGTAATTAGAATGCTATTTCGGCCATGTTTGTAGCTATCATTTTACGAAGTGGTCTTTATTTGTCTATATTTTAATTTTTAAGAGCTTTGAATGGCAGGGGTGTTATTGATTTTTGAGTAAGTTACACAAATGGTCCTTCTGGTTTGAAGTAATTTGCACGTTTAGTCCTTAACTTATTTTTTAACTCAGAAAGTTCTTACTATTCGTTTTTATTGTGTCTTGGTCCTTGTTTTATCGAAAGAGACTATTTTGCTTTTGGTTTTTAATTTATTTAAATAAACACATCCCAAACTCTTTTTCATATCATCTTACTTTACTTTATCAACCTCATCTTATTTAAATACATTAAAAAATCAAGGGTAAAACTGTCTTTTTATGTATGACATGGGTTAAGTGCGCAACAAAAACAAACAATAATGATCTTCCAAGTTAAAAAAATAAATTAAGGATCAAACATGTAAATTACCCCAAACCATAAGGACCATTAGTGTAATTTACTCTTGATTTTTGTGAACTATGGGGTCAGAGATTTGGAAAACTCTTTGTTATTTTAAGTATGTCTTAATCTGATTTGCATAATTATTGTTTACTTCAGTTGAATTTAGCTACAATTGTAGAAACATGTTTTTACATATTGGTTGTGGGGAGTATAGTTAGCCATCTTCAGATTTGTTATCGCTTTACTGATAATTTACTTAATAACATTTGCTTATGTTATCCCACTATAATCTTTACTTGTTAATTCTTTGTTCATTTTTGATGGGGGTTGACGCAGTCTTGTAATTTTTCATACCAAATTGTTTCAAGAGCTCGTTAGTAATTTTTCATACCAAATTGTTTCAAGAGCTCGTTAGCGTATTTCTACTATGGCACAAAAATACCTTTGTTGGTCTACTTTACTTTCAACTCTAAAGAATAATTCAATTTTACAATGTGAGTATGTATTTTGGCATTTTTGGATTCAACTCAACTATATACAAGGCCTTGTGTATATCATATTAAAGGATGATCTTTGTCGTATCTAACTAGAACTTAAAATTTTAGATATGAGTAGTGGGTGTAGATTTCATTTATGGCTTTTATCTACGATGTATTAACCGAAAGAATAAATTAACCTTATCATTCCTAAAACCACATATAATAAGTTAAATAGTCGTCTAATCATAGATCATAAAAAATGCTATTAAAGATCTTAAATATATACACAAGTTTGAGCTAGCTCACTTGGTTAACATAAAGATTCTAATTTAACTACTAACTTGGAGGTCCTGGATTTAATGCCAACACAAGAGATATATATTTATTTGTCATTCAAAAAAAGATCATACATATATAAAATATATATAGAAGAAGAGATTATAGATTAGTAAAGCAATGAGGCTAGAGATTCTTCATTGATCCTAACTAGTACAATCTCCCAAACTTCTCTCATGAATTTCGACGGTTTGGTTATTCACCGAAATCCAATTTCATTTGATAAAGTGATTGCTTTTCTGAAATATTGAACTAGACACATTCAGCGGATCATCAAGGAACATCTTTCCATTCTTGGAATGATTGATTCCACCATTAATGGTTGATTTGGGGAGAAATGGAATCCTTTATTGGTAATTTGATGGAATGTATTTCTAAGTGGGTGTTTTGGATTACTTTTAAATATAAAAGTCTTTTTTGTAAAATAACTTTTTAAGAAAGTAGTTTTTGCGAAACGAGTTTTTTAAAATGTGTTTAGATTAGCAAAAAGTCGGCAAAATGACTTTTGGAATACTAATTAGATAAGACAGTACACTCTGAGATGCGAAAACACTTCATTTCAAGTGTTAGGAGTGACCCGGGTAGCATCTAAGGGTGTGTATGGCCTGAATATGGAGTTTGCTCTTCAAGAGTAAACTCCATATGGAGATTACATCCCTAAGACCATGTCCTCATGAGTTTACGGCTGTAAACTCATGGTGGGGGTGTTCTTGGGTGCTTAATGGTCTTATAACTCTTGTGGGGTGATGCTAGGCTTAGGTTTAAGGCATTGGAAGTGAATTAACCAACACATGGACCATATAAAGGAGTTTACGGTAGTAAACTAGGATTTTACGGCTTTAAACTCTTAGGTACCCATTCTTATTGTGTTTTGGTGATCCTAGGTCAAGTCCAAGTGTTTCTAGTCCAAAGTACAAGCCATGGAAGGAAGTTAGGGCACTATTTGACCACCACAAAGGAGTTTACGACCCAGGAACCATTCCTTGGGGGGTTTATGGCCGTAATCTACCTAGGGGATGCTTTCTTGTATGTTTAAGGTCCCTAACACATTGGTGGATGATTCTAGACTTTATTCCAAGGCTTAGGAGGTGTTTAAGGGGCATTCTAACACCTTAAAAGGTGTTCACGGCCTAAGAAATGGTGTTTATGGTCCAAGCATGTGCTTGGGCCGTAAACTCATGTTTACCCCTCAAATGATAAGGTTTTGGTGTTCTAAGTCCAATATTGTAAGCCCTTAAGTCATATCTAAGCTCCAAAAGTGGTTTGGAAAGGTTTTGAGGCTCAAAAACCCCATTTATGTGTGTTTGCAGCCTAGGGTTATTCCTGGGCCGTAAACACTTGTTCTTGGTCCTATTTCATGAATTAAGCATGAGTTTGAAAGCTAAATGTGTTATACTATGAGCTAGGAAGGAATACATACCAATTTGGGGCTTGAAAGAGGTGATTTTGGATCAAATTTTGAGTTTTTAGAGAGAGAGTAGAGAGAGTGTGTGGAAAATCTTCAAATGAAGCCCACTCAACTTTATATATGGTTCGGGTTTGAGGCTCGGTGGAATTCTACCTGATACTGACGTTAAACGGGGCTTTTGGTCGCACCCGATTAAGTTTTCGTAACCCGACGTGGTTGAAACCATAAATTTTCCAAATAAACATTTGTGATGTTTTCACGTGTTTCTAATGTGTTTGGACACTCACGAGATCATAATAAGAGTCTTAATTTAAATGACCTAATCCAAAAGTCAACGGAAAAATCAGAAATACTAACGCTTTTACTGACAAAAACGTGTTACAATGACGGAATAACTTACGGGTTGTCACATTATCCCCCTGTTAGAGAAAATTTCGTCCCGAAATTTAGAATTAAATAAAAATCATGGAACTAAAAACAGATACGGATACTTCTAATTCATCGAGTCTTCGTGCTCCCAAGTGAACTCATGACCCCGCTTGGCATTCCAACGAACCTTCACTATCAGGATGCGACTTTGTTTCGAACGCTTGACCCCTCGATCCATGATTTCGATGGGTTCTTCCACAAATTTCAGGTTTTCGTTGATCTCGATCTCGTCAAGAGGGATCACGAGGGTTTCATCGGATAAACACTTTTTACGATTTGAGACGTGGAAGACTGGATGGATGTT